ATATTTGACATATTTTAGGATATGTGAATAGGACTGGTCTATAATGGAAGGTCTTTAATATTATGAATTACTATGGTGATAGCATTTAGTATAATAAAATACAACAAAACCATGAAATAATTATATATTGATGTTAGTTGTAAGTAAGAGATACATGGTATAATATAATATATAGCAGATTATGATTTTTTCCAGAACAAAATATTATTATTTCTCTTATAATACTGCACGTTTGTAACGTCGTTTTTCAAGGTCTGTGAAGTTGGCTTGTACATTGTACATCGTAGTTCAGCTAGTAATTCGCCAATATTTGAATTACTAGCTAGTAGTTGGGCATTCAGCGTGTAGTTCGAAAAAAAAACAGTATGATACATAATATTTGAATTACTAGCTAGTAGTTGGGTATTCAGCGTGTAGTTCGGAACAAATACACTAACATACACACTATTTGAATTACTAGCTAGTAGTTGGGTATTCAGCGTGCAGTTCGGAACAAATACACTAACATACACAATATTTGAATTACTAGCTAGTAGTTGGGCATTCAGCGTGTAGTTCGAAACAAACACACTAAGATACATAATATTTGAATTACTAGCTAGTAGTTGGGTATTCAGCGTGCAGTTCGGAACAAATACACTAACATACACAATATTTGAATTACTAGCTAGTAGTTGGGTATTCAGCGTGTAGTTCGGAACAAATACACTAACATACACAATATTTGAATTACTAGCTGGCAAAGGCTAATCACTTGGTTTCAGCAGTGTAAGCGTTAAATGCTGGCCTGGTATCAAAGTTTTAGTAGGCATTATGTGGGAAAAGTTCAATGGCTCTGACAATTTAAAGTCATTCTTAAATTTTGTGTTCTAAGATTTAAAGCAGCATGCCTCCAGGTTCATGCTAATTTTCATTAAAATTTTCAAAATGTATTAAGAAATTTATGTTTGGCATTCAGGGTGTAGTTCGAAACAAACACACTAAGATACACAATATTTGAATTACTAGCTAGTAGTTGGGCATTCAGCGTGTAGTTCGAAACAAACACACTATGTACTACACCGATCTACTAGCTAGTAATTCAAATGTTGTGTATGCTGGTGTATTTGTGTCGAACTACACACTGAATACCGATCTACTAGCTAGAAATTCAAATATTGTGTACGCTGGTGTATTTGGTCCAAACTACACACTGAATACCAAACTACTAGCTAGTAATTCAAATATTATGTATGTTAGTGTGTTTGTTTCGAACTACACGCTGAATACCCAACTACTAGGTAGTAATTCAAATATTATGTATGTAAGTTTGTTTGTTTCGAACTACACGCTGAATACCGATCTACTAACTAGTAATTTAAATATCTTGTATGCTGGTGTATTTGTTCCGAACTACACGCTGAATACCGATCTACTAGCTAGTAATTCAATATATTGTGTATGCTGGTGTATTTGGTCCGAACTACACGCTGAATACCCAACTACTAGCTAGTAATTCAAATATTGTGTATGCTGGTGTATTTGGTCAGAACTACACGCTGAATACCCAACTACTAGCTAGTAATTCAAATATTATGTATGTTAGTGTGTCTGGTCCGAACTACACGCTGAATACCGATCTACTAGCTAGTAATTCAAATGTGTGTATGCCGTTGAATTTGTTTCGAACTACACACTGAATACCGATCTACTAGCTAGTATTTCAAATATTATGTATGCTGGTGTATTTGGTCCGAACTACACGCTGAATACCCAACTACTAGGTAGTAATTCAAATATTATGTATGTTAGTCTGTTTGTTTCGAACTACACGCTGAATACCGATCTACTAGCTAGTAATTCAAATATTTTGTGTGCTGGTGTATTTTTTCCGAACAACACGCTGAATACCGATCTACTAGCTAGTAATTCAAATATTGTGTATGCTGGTGTATTTGGTCCCAACTACACGCTGAATACCCAACTACTAGCAAGTAATTCAAATATTGTGTATGCTGGTTAATTTGGTCCGAAATACACGCTGAATACCCAAATACTAGCTACTAATTCAAATATTATGTATGCTAGTGGGTTTGTTCCAAACTACACGCTAAATACCCATCTACTAGCTAGTAATTCAAATATTATGTATGTAAGTGTGTTTATTTCGAACTACACGCTGAATAGCGATCTACTAGCTAGTAATTCCAATATTGTGTATGCTGGTGTATTTGTTCCGAACTACACGCTGAATACCGATCTACTAGCTAGTAATTCAAATATTGTGTATGCTGGTGTATTTGGTCCGAGCTACACGCTGAATACCCAACTACTAGCTAGTAATTCAAATATTGTGTATGCTGGTGTATTTGGTCCGAACTACACGCTGAATACGCAACTACTAGCTAGTATTTCAAATTTTATGTATGCTAGTGGGTTTGTTCAGAACTACACGCTGAATACCGATCTACTAGCTAGTAATTCAAATATTGTGTATGCTGGCGTATTTGTTCTGAACTACACGCTGAATACCGATTTACTAGCTAGTAATTCAAATATTGTGTATGCTGGTGTATTTGGTCCGAACTGCACGCTGAATACCCAACTACTAGCTAGTAATTCAAATATTGTGTATGTAAGTGTGTTTGTTTCGAACTACACGCTTAATACCCAGCTACTAGGTAGTAATTCAAATATTATGTATGTTAGTTTGTTTGTTTCGAACTACACGCTGAATACCGATCTACCACCTAGTAATTCAAATATTTTGTATGCTGGTGTATTTGTTCCGAACTACACGCTGAATACCGATCTACCAGCTAGTAATTGAAATATTGTGTATGCTGGTGTATTTGGTCCGAACTACACGCTGAATACCCATCTACTAGCTAGTAATTCAAATATTGTGTATGCTGGTGTATTTGGTCCGAACTACACGCTGAATACCCAACTACTAGCTAGTAATTCAAATATTATGTATATGCTAGTGGGTTTGTTCCGAACTACACGCTGAATACCCATCTACTAGCTAGTAATTCAAATATTATGTATGTTAGTGTGTCTGGTCCGAAGTACACGCTGAATACCGATCTACTAGCTAGTAATTCAAATGTTGTGTATGCTGGTGTATTTGTTCTGAACTACACACTGAATACCGATCGACAAGCTAGTAATTCAAATATTGTGTATGCTGGTGTATTTGGTCTGAACTACACGCTGAATACCCAACTACTAGCTAGTAATTCAAATATTATGTATGTTAGTGTGTTTGTTTCGAACTACACGCTGAATACCCAACTACTAGGTAGTAATTCAAATATTATGTATGTAAGTTTGTTTGTTTCGAACTACACGCTGAATACCGATCTTCTAAATAGTAATTTAAATATCTTGTATGCTGGTGTATTTGTTCCGAACTACACGCTGAATACCGATCTACTAGCTAGTAATTCAAATATTGTGTATGCTGGTGTATTTGGTCCGAACTACACGCTGAATACCCAACTACTAGGTAGTAATTCAAATATTGTGTATGCTGGTGTATTTGGTCAGAACTACACGCTGAATACCCAAATACTAGGTAGTAATTCAATATTATGTATGTTAGTTTGTTTGTTTCGAACTACACGCTGAATACCGATCTACTAGCTAGTAATTCAAATATTGTGTATGCTGGTGTATTTGTTCTGAACTACACGCTGAATACCGATTTACTAGCTGGTAATTCAAATATTGTGTATGGTGGTGTATTTGGTCCGAACTACACGCTGAATACCCAACTACTAGCTAGTAATTCAAATATTATGTATGTTAGTGTGTTTGTTTCGAACTACACGCTGAATACCGATTTACTAGCAAGTAATTCAAATATTGTGTATGCTGGTGTATTTGGTCCGAACTACACGCTGAATACCCAACTACTAGAAAGTAATTCAAATATTATGTATGCTGGTGTATTTGGTCCGAACTACACGCTGAATACCCAACTACTAGCTAGTAATTCAAATATTATGTATGCTAGTGTGTTTGTTTCGAACTACACGCTGAATACCCATCTACTAGCTAGTAATTCAAATATTATGTATGTTAGTGTGTCTGGTCCGAACTACACACTGAATACCGATCTACTAGCTAGTAATTCAAATGTTGTGTATGCTGGTGTATTTTTTCTGAACTACACGCTGAATACCCATCTACTAGCTAGTAATTCAAATAGTGTGTATGCTGGTGTTTTTGGTCCGAACTACACGCTGAATACCCAACTACCTGCTAGTAATTCAAATATTATGTATGTTAGTTTGTTTGTTTCGAACTACACGCTGAATACCGATCTACTAGCTAGTTATTCAAATATTGGCGAATTACTAGCTGAACTACGATGTACAATGTATAAGCCAACTTCACAGACCTCGTTTGGGTCTTTCATTGGATAATCGTAACGTTTATATAGTTTTATCTACACGGCTGTATCGATTCATAAATAACTCTTACTTTTTTCTCTAAAAAATGATGTTTGCTGTATCATAAATTCGTTATAAAGATTGTTGACAGGTTATATGGCCGTATATAAACGGCTGTTTGCAGTATAACCCTCGCCTAGCGGCTCGGGTTATATTTACAAATAGCCGTTAATATAGGGCCAAATAATAACTTATTATATATAAGGGGGATAGGTGGCCTTGTGGTTAATGTGTCTGTCTCTTAACCCAGAGATCATGGGTGCGAGCCCTACTCGGGTCACGACCATGTTTCTTCATATGACACCAGTAGTGGTTGGTTCCAGGAAGCGGACTCGAAAACGATTAATACAATTTGCAAGAACTTGTTTCGCAATCGAGCTTAAATAAATAGGTTAAACCAACCAATAAAATTATATTATGCGAGCCTCTGGCGAGCATATTATTTCATTCAACGAGTGCAATAAATTCAGTAACAAACTTACAAGAATTTAATATTCTATTTATGACATACCCAAAATATAAAAGACCATTTAAAGTGAAATAAGAGCGATGTTTCATTGACGCGCCTATAGCTTTAACATCAATTGATAACAATGATATGATACGCCATGTTTACATCCGTTTACGATGTCTTTTCTAATACTATACAACTTTAGATACTGTGTAGTTCGTTTACACTTAAATCTTATCTCTTCCAAAATGTATTTAGTGCATTAACCCAAATCTCGATTGTAATTAAACTTTTCTCCTAGGAGTTTTGATAAAAGATCATTATGGGGGCGGTAAAAGTTTTCCAACATCTTCCTGGTTTCCGGCAACATTTCCCCTGCTTGTTTATCCTTCTTTCTTCTTTTATTTGCATGCTGATTTGGATCCGCAATCTTTTGTAAGTCCTTTGCTTTTAATGTCGCTGAAATAAATGAAACTTTTAACTCTTTAAGAAAAGCTAAATATGTATTTTAAATATAATTAAAGGAGATCCACTGAGGTCAAAAAAGTCTTGACCTTAACTTTAACGTTTTTGCATTGATCAGTTGATATACTTAAAATTGAAAAATCTACAAAAACATGATAAAGAAAATTTCTATTTAATATAAACTTAGAATAAATGAAAAATTGATATTTTGCACGATTTCGAGTAAAGTTTTATTGTCATTTCACACAAAAAAAAGACAAAAATAGAAGGAAGGAATAATCTGATATTTTGCAGACAATTCATTTGTAGAGACCTACACAAGTTTCGAAACATTTCCAGCTTCTTCTTGTCAAAAAAAACCTCAGTGGAACCCCTCTAATAATCAAACTATACAGTGTATTTACAAAAATAGTTCTAGAAAAATTACAAACTGTTGCTAGAACATTCTGATTTTTTTTCACAATTTATGCTATTATCAGAATAACATTTAAAGAATCAAGAATTCATATATTATCAAATACTCACATATTTCTAAAAACGAAAAGATTTGTTTCATATAGGAATATGTATTGTTTGAAAAGTCTTCAAGTTTGATCACCATCACCTGTTCACGTGGGAATACACGGAAATATTCTTTTAAATGCAGATGGTAAACGCCAATTCGAAGTCTAATCTGAAAGAGAGAAAAAACACATCCATATCAACGTACGATCATAGTTTAAACTGTATATATATATACATTGTATTACACACCTATTTGTCAAAATTAACTTTATTTAAACAAATCTGGTTTAATTAAATCATGTAGAAAAAGATAAAGTGACACTGTCAGTGTGTAATAGCACGTGACTCGATCTGGTTTACATTAGCTCCTAAATAACGCTACGCGTTAGGATCTGGCGATGAGCAATAGGTTGTAACATTCTCGTGATTTTTCCAACAGCCAATCATCGGCGAGCTTTCACAATTTTGAAAGCGAGTCGGTTTCAAATTCTAACTGCTGGAAAACCAATACGAGTAGGTAATTTTCAAGATTTCGAGAACAAACATGGTGTTGTCCACATTGCCGGCAGGTAAACTAGAAATACAATCTTGCAATCATATTACAATCATTAAAATTGAGCCTATTATTTCCAGTTTACTTGTTTCAAAATTACTTCAAACATTTTTTTTCTAACAAAAAGAAAATGATTTACTTTCACGGACAATATAATACAGAAATTTTGTCTCATGCCTATCTGTAAAAGCCGGTTTGATTGCATGGCTAAAATAGCTTTCTGGGAAAATCAGAATCATAATGAAGGCGAAACCTACACGGTTGTTATCAGATTTACATGTAAAAATAAGTAGATCTGAACTTTAGTCAGATTGCCACGTGACTTTGCACGGTAAACATTTTTTCGAAAATCTAGTTTTCATCAAAAAAAATCATTACCATAGATTTATGATATACAGCTTTTCTCTAAGACTCTGCTTAATTGAGTCATATAAATAAATTATAAACTTTTGTCTGTTTAAAGTTTTATTTACTATTTCTGCTTGCCATATTTCCAAAAACAATGACGTATGGAAAACTGATTGTTGTAGAATAGCAAAACACCACAAGTATCGCGTTCTACCTATTTTTTTTACATTTTGCCAACAACCCTAACATTGCATGTTGTAAGCGTTTGATTCAAGAAGCATACCTCTATTTTCATGGAAATTTTAGAATTACATTTAAAACATAAATATCGTCAAGTGAACAAAGAAAGTAACTTACACATTTCAATCAACACATAAAAATCTACAAAAATTACCCATAATATGCCAAATTATACAAAAATAGCCCTTACTGCGTCATTTGCGCAGTAGAAATATGATGTTTATACAGCAAAACCAGTCATTAATTGCATATAACATGTAAAATTTTTTTTAATTGTGAATATTGTTTTTTTTTTCTTAAAATCTTAGTACAATGTTCTAAGTGTAGATTTTCTTGAAATATGTTGGGTCATCTGGAGGCATACATCTTTAAAACAGGTCATTGTATCAAACATTTTATAATCATATTAACGGTATACTAGAAGACATACGAATGTTTTGTCCGGTTTTGTCACTTACCACAATACCAGGTCGGCTTTTAGCTGGTGTATATAAACAATGGCGCAGACTGTTATTTCTCAAGCAATTATAAGTATCTTTGATAATGTTCTTGACACCTTCATGAAACATCTCTGGGCTTCCTTGTTGAAATTGTTGAAAAAACAGATAGTCCGAGTACAACCTGATATTTCAGAAAAATGTGTGTGTGATATAATACATGTGTATCAAAATATATTGCTGAATCTGATCGCCGATAGTTTGTGAAAGTCACACATTTAAAACAAAAAAGTAAAAACGTTTTTAAAATTTTATTAAAAATGTTTCAAATTTAAAAGGACTTCTATCATCATTGAAGATTTCAAACTTAATAAAACGTATATAATAGATCTAGTATAAATGAGATTTGTATATATTGAAGTTTTAGTAATACGTACAAATAGACTAGCAAGTCACATCACGTGTCTTTAAACGTTACGACATTATTATTTCATTTCTTTTGTTGTTACTATTATTGTTGTTCTTGTTCTTTTTTCTTTATTAATTTTATTTATTTATTTATTTATTATTTTCTTCATTTTATTTTGTTCTTTCTTTATTTTTTGTGTCTGTTTTTCAAACTTAAAAAAAAATATTTTTAAAGAAGCTGCCTCCGCACATTTCCTTTTATAATTGGATATATATCGATTTAAACAAAGGAAAATTTTAGTTAGTAAACCAGTTGTATACCTCTCAACTGGATTTCTTAACATGGCAATAATTTTTGCATTAGGATTTAAATGATGAATATAATCGGCATTGGTATATAGAGGTTCCGACAGGTTTCTGAATTCTGGTAAAATAGTCCAATAATCATTGTCCCATAATGTGGACGCTGAGCAATCTCCTGTAAATAAAAATAACATATGAAAACATACTTTTGTTGAAATAAATACAGAATTTAAGGGGGTTTTCTTCTATAAATACAGTATTTATTTTCATCGAGTAAATATATGAAAATTAATATTTCATGGTTCGCGGTAGCCCCGAGTGAAATATGATAATGTATCTTTTTTTTCATACAACAAGATGTAAAATGAAAAATTTTGATTTTTCTATTTATTTACAGTTTTTTTTTTAACATTACAGCTCGATAGGCTTCTGTATTGGCTGAATTAAGAGGAAAGTTGTTCTGCAAGACACCAATGAAAATACAGACAATATGTCACTGCAGCGAAAAGTAAAACCTTCATGTGAAAATACGGAAATGAATATACGCATCTTCAATCAACATTTCTAAAAATTTCATTTATGAGTATATAATAAATTACATTCACGCTATATAATTACTATAACTGTCCCTGTATATGGGTTTTTAATCACTATTATACTATTGTACTTTATTTATTGATCATAAAATCAAGTCTGAATAAATATTTGCAAATGTGTCATAATATTAATGGTATTTTTTTTCAGAACTATAGCCAGATTTTATGATACAAAATGTAGACAGAGCTTTCGAGATCAATAAAACCACAATATTCCTTTTGACTGAATCTGTTTATGAACTGTTATGGCAGACACTGCCATAGCCAATATGTTGCATGCTGATTAGCTGTCATATACTTTATAATGGTTTGCTTTTAGTAAAAGAGTATAGAATTTAAATAAGATTTCAATTAAAAAGATTACTGTCGTATATATTTCATCTCACAATTCAGTTATTGAGAAGTTCCAGAGATGTCTGTGTAACATATGTTGGTAACGACATTAATATTTTTATTATCAATGAATGGTGCAATTGTCAAGAGAACTGATATGGCCACTGTACAAGTTTTCAATAAGTTTAATTGCTTGAGTTAATTAGGTTAATAACTACGAAAACTGTTAATACCCATAAATAAAGTATGGGACAAAATCCCACTGCCCATTTGTTATTTCTTTTCTGACACAACATGTTTCATGCAAAACTTCAATGTTTAAGTAATAGCAGGATAAGCTTTTGATTTAAAATAAACGTGTTAACCTCTTTCTTAAATCCCAGGTTTAGAGCGATTTGTTGTTATTGTTAAAGTGTTCTTGTTGTTGTTTTTTTCCAAAATTAATTAGCAAAATAATAAATTGCCTTCAATGATGTTTAGTTCCTAAAAACTATACAGTAAAAGTGCAAATTAGGAAATATATTATCCCTCAAGTACATTTAATTGCACAGCAGATGAAAAATATTTTTGGGGACTTTTTTTTTGCTTCATTACATAGTCATGTATGTAATAGCATTAAAATTAAAGATTTAGTCTGTAGGATTTATACCAAAGTATTATCATGCAAAGGTGCGATATAACCCATTATGTAATGTTCCCAGTAGTGGTGCCCATATTACTGTTGGTTTTATATCATTTTACCACAAGCATGCTTTGAAGATAAACATTAATTATAAGGTTTTAATTTGAATGTCAAAGTGAGCGTTTTTTCTGTTTTCTACTGTTAATTACGTAAAAAAGCTAAAATACATGTCCTTCGTATATTAAATAGATATTTACCCATTCACTTCAGATACCCATAGAACCCTTTAAAATAAGCATTAAAATTTTAATCATATTTATTTTTTATTTAAAAAATTTTTAATTTTTTTTGGGCCAACCCATATGTGAATCTGATTTTTTTATTTTTTTGGCCATCAAACTTTATCAATGATACGTGACAAAATATTTGTTTTTTTGAATCTTAATGACGATTTGCCATTTTGAAATTTTTTCTTTTAAAAACAACAAATAATTAATTTTTGGTTTTTTTGTTTTAAATTTTGAAAAATGTGTAATAAAAAACCCTTTGGAAATTAAAAAAAATTTGTTGAGTTTTTTTTTAAAAAAAGTAAAAATTTAAAAATTGGGGAATTTTTTAAAAAAAGTGGGTTGATAAAATTCAAATTAAATTGGGTTTTTTTAAAAAAAAATTTAAAAAAAAAAAATTTTTATTTTAAAAAATAAAAAATGTACAGGAGGGGTTTTCGGGGTAACGTACGTTTATCATAATAACTACTTTAAAAAAAAGTTTGGCAAATGTTAATTATTTTAAAAATCTTAACAAAATTTTGGTTAAAATAAATAAAAATGGTTAGGAATATTAAAAACATTTTTATTAAAAAAAATTTAATTTAAAAAAACTTTTAAAAAACTAAATTTAATCAGGGGTTCAAATTTCTTTTTAGGGTAGGGTTTGGATTAATCGACATAGCTAAAAATTCGGGGGTGCATGTATTTTGATTTTTGTTTAAGGTTTATTGGTACCATTGGGTTTGTTATCTAATTTTTTAAAGGTTCTCATTCTCTCTTTGGTATGAAAAAAATAATAAAGGAGATAATAGGGTAATTTATAGAGAAAAAGTTTTAGACAAAAAATAATGAACAGCAGATGAACCAAAAAGACAAAAGAAATACAGAATATTAACTTACAATGTGAAATACCCACATTAATCTAGCTGTTACATATTCTACATATAATCTAATATTTAAATGTTCTTGTTTTAATTTCATTCTCCCTTTTTAAAAGTTTATTTGCTTTTTGGGAAGCTAACATGATTACAAAAAAACTAAAAAAAAATGTAAAATATTTGTGTGTTCTGTTCAAATTGAAACTCTGGTTCGACATAAATTTTTAAATAGTCATTTTTTTTAAAAACTTTATTATTTTCATATCATTTCATGGTTTTTTTAAATTTGTTTTATTAAAACGGTAAAACAGATTTGTTTCAAAATTTTTGATATTCGTTTCAATTTGTGGAAAAATTTTTATATTGTAAAAGTAAATCCGAGCTACTTGTGTCAATAGATAAATATGAACATCAGTTTTTTTATTGACTTCAAATGCTTTATAATAAATATTTTTAAATAAACAAGTTTTTAAAAAAACATTTTCATCAGCTTAATTTCAAACTATTTTATAGACAAGATTTTTTTAAAATGCAATTTGATGCAAATATTTGTAAAAAATTGTTTGTTAAAAAAAAATGTTAGAAAATTTTTTAAAATCATGTAAATTCTTGAAAATTATTTCATAAAGTCCACAAAGGCCAGGTTTAATTTTTTAATACTTTTTAAATAATTACTTTTTTTCAAAAGAGGGTTCTGGTTAATTTTATTTTTAATGTTTTAAGGTTCAAAACTTCAGGTTTAATTATATTTTAACGTTTTATATAATAATATGGTTTCAAAAAGGGTTTCATGTTTAAAAATATTTAAACGTTCCTTTAAAAATACTACTTTTTACAAAGAGGATTTTTAGGTTTTTAAATTTTATTTAAACAGCTTCCTTATACTAATTACTACTGGTATCAAAGAGGACTTCATGGTTTAATTATATTTAATCAGCTTCCTTATACTAATTACTACTGGTATCAAAGAGGACTTTATGGTTTAATTATATGTAATCAGCTTCCTTATACCAATAACTTCTGGTATCAAAGAGGACTTCATGGTTTCATCTTAGAAGGACTGAACAAAATATGAACTCTACACCGAAATGCAAAATCCTTTACTGTTTAGTACTTTCCAATTACCAATTGATATATTGAAAAGTATGATCTACTTGAGACAAAAGTGTCATTTGAGATCCATGAAAACAAAACAAGAAATACAAATCTGAATTCTTTAATTATGCTGAGATAAGTGTGTGGCATAAGATGCAAGCTTACCGAATATAACGTTATGGAAGCCTTCAGAGTCTTTCCTCAAAAGCACATCTCTCGTAGCAAATTTAAAGACTTTGAGATAGTGAGTCAAATTGGAGTACCCTCCGTTTATCCCGTGGCCGTCTGAATCAGAACAAAAACATCTATTAGACGTCAAACAAAAATAAAATGAAACTATCAAATTATATATACCTTTCCCAACTGAAGGTTACCGCAGGAATATCATTTGTCCAATCACGCACATGCGCCTTCAATTAGTCTTGTTGATTCTTATGATGGAAATTTCTTACGTATTGAACAGTTTCAATAATGAAAATATTTGCCAATGGCGTTAGAACTTAATAGTTCTTTAGTATGAAAATGGTCCGTGCATGATTAAATGAGCATTCGGCAATGTAATAATTTATACGAAGCAAATGTTCATCGATCCATCGATTATATATGGATTACTACGTTAATTGAACGATTAGCTGCCAATTTTTTACGAAGTTGTGACTGTAAAAGTCTGTGGTCTGGGGAAACCAAGGATGCAAATACGTAAGACCGTTTATCTTATCAGATGCTGCAGGTCCTGATAGAGCGTAGCACCATCAATTGCTTTAACTTGTTGCATATTTTTGACATTTTATGTAATAAAATGATACATACTGCCGCATTCAGTTTTTTATTTGTTTATCTGATTAAATATCTATTAAAATCTCTTATTACCTGTGATGTATCAAACACGACAAACTTATTGATAATTTATTTTAGAAAATGACTCGTGGTATATTTGATATTTCGATCAACAGATGGCCTTAAATAGCTGAAAATAAAACAGCACTATCATAATGGTATCAGTGCACTGTATGTACTGATCAAAGTGATATAAAACAGCTCCAATAACTAGCAGCTGGAGACTTCATTTGTAATTCAGTGCATGTGATTAAATATAATAGTCATATTTTTGTTACAATACAATATTTTTTAAGTTGATCACTTACAGTAATGTCTTCTGGTTAGCCAGTGAGGTTCTTTTACCACCAATTTTGATATCTCAGGATGTTTGATCAGCCGCCGGTGCATATCGGTCGTACCTGACTTTGGAGCGCCAATCAAATAAAAGTAGGGCAGACATCGGATTGGAGGCTCCCAAGAGCTTTTCTCGGCTGGCTTCCAACATGGACTTTTGAAGTTTTTCAAGAATTTGAACGGACCCTGAAATTGTTTATTGTTTTTATTATCAAATATGCCTTCAACGTAGCTACAAGGACTTTCGAAACATTCAAAACCAAAATAGCTTCTATTTAAAGAAACTTTAATTAGCAATCTGATGAAATTCATTAACATTATAATTTCAACCTGTTATTATATTGTTGCATTTGAACAAATATGACTAAGAAATTATTTAAATTTATTTCTAAAAACTTTTCATTTTTGGTGTTAAATTTATAGTTTCCAAAAAGCTACTAATTGGCCAATGAAGTCAAAAACTACTTTATTTACATTTTGCTACTTTTGTGATAATGTTACAATGAGCTGCACTTTCTTCAGGTAATAAGCATCTCATTATATATAACATGCTCTAAATAAATTGTTAATCGTTACAACACTCATGTTTACTTTCCTAAGAAAAATCATTTTAGGCACTTTGCTCCTTGAATATAGAAGTGCTACGTTAATGGAGAATTGACAATGCCTGATATCTTAAATAGGTTTAAAGGTAAAACATGTGTGCAACAGAAGGTTGGGCACCTTAAAATCATTTGTTAAAGGGACTTAACTGAGGTCTGTTGACATGACATCACTGGAAATATCTTTCCGAGATTTGTGTACTAATAGGGGAAGCTCTGGACCAAACACTTGTGTGCAAATTTTTTTATCACACTTCACCCAGATTTTCAAGAACAATTATTTTTCTCGTGCAATTTGGCATAAAAAGATCCAACACCGCAAAGCTTCAAATAAACAAAAACTATTGTCAGTTTAATTCTGGGTATATTTTTTTGTTATTCTTTATAGAGTTTTCAGAGTTTTATTATATTCATCTATCGCTTGATCGCTTGTAGATATGTAAACTTCAATTTTAGTAACACTCTTTTAACAAATTAATCTGACGATGCTAACAAATACCATAAGTTTACCCTCTAAAACATACATTGTAGGTATTTATTGGACAGCATTTGCAAGATAAGCTACAATTGAGAACTGTATAGAGTTTATTAAAACACGTTGTAGGGGATGCACTTGATGTTTTCTCTTAATATTTATATTGCTTCCAAACCTTATGCATATATATACCTTACTTACCAAATTATACTAAATATGCATGTTTCTTTTTTGCGATTTTTTTTCAAATATATATTTTATTTAACTAATATTTTCAGGAAACAAAATTTCATGATAAGATATAAGACAAAGTCAGCGAAGTACTGTCAGCGTTGCCCAGTCGTAAATGCGTCGGACTAGTAATCTAAGGATTGCTGACCGCATGGGTTCAAACCCTGTCAGGCTAAACCCGTTGTTTCCTTGAGCAAGAAACTTTACATTCATTTCTTAGTACTGGTTTATTCCAGGAACGGATTCGAAAGTGAATCAGTAAGCTTATAGCGTCCAACACAATCGAACTTAAATAAATTTGTATAAACTACCAGTAAGAATTTATCATTGTGCAACATTTTACCTGTTTCATTAGATCTTCTATTATATACTTCCCTGACGCTATCATCTCGAAGTCCATTTCGTGTGGATGTTTCTTAAAAACTTTCGTTTTTGAAGAAGTATAAGTTAAGTTCAATTTTTTTGATATTACAACTGAGTTAGATTTATCTAGTTTCATCCGTATTTCTTCGTTTAATTTTGTATTTAAAGTGTGAGACTGAAGGCGGTCTGAAGACTTTCTTCTCGAATTTAAAGTTGACGTTTTCATTACTGTAGCTGCTTTCTGGTAATTTTCTGAAGTGTCTAAGTAGTTTGTTTCACGTGTAATGTCAGGTGTCCAAACGTCGGTTGTTGATGCAACACTGTATGTATCCTGTCTCGTGCTGCCATTGTCTCTCTCAATTTTGTTCAATGTATATTTGCGTCCAGATGGATTTGACCACTCTCTGCTGGTAAAGTCAGCAACGTCTGCCATCTTTAACACGGAGGGATTGAAAGAAAACTTGATACACAACACCACAACAGCCAGTATACAAACACTTTTGGCTAGCCTGTAAAAGATTTTATTCAATTAGTAGTGAATAGTTGTTTGGCAATATTGGTCAGAGACTCATTAACTTCCGGGAGTATTTTCGTTAGTTTCCGTAATTTGTTACGATTTACGCTTAGGATTTTATTGATTTTATAGATCTCTCGAAACTTGGACACACCAGGGTCTTTCAAATAAATCTATTTGAAAGACCCTGGACACACCTTTTTTGTAGATTGCATGAACTGATATTTTTCATATTTTTTTTAATTAATATATAAAACATGAGTTGATAAATCTTGTGTTTCATTTCTAGACTTATTTTTTATAATCTGATAAATATATTTTTTCATTTCATTAATTCTAATATTATATGTTAAGTCATACAATGAGTGTTTCGCATGCATGAATGTACAAGTTTTGAAAATATGATAAAAATCACACAGGAAAAATAATTTATATGATTCATACCTTCAATCTTCAATATGAAACTACATGTAATTGAAAGTCTTACACCTTGTCACCGAAGCTAGAAAGTCAAGTGTTATGCTGGTAATTCTAAATTCTTACATATATTGTTTTATAATATACCTATAAATTTTCTCCCTAAAAGCACGCAAATCTTAAAGCGCGAATGCGCTTCAACGAATAAAAAATTCCGTATTATGTTAGTGACAAATACGGTACCATATATGGAAGTGCTGGACTATTTTTGACGTTGGTTCCGATCTTAGCTGTGTATATCGTAGCATTTGGAAACGGGAACCAAAATTACTAAAGGCGTGGCTGGTTTTGCAAAAATTACGTATTCATCAGTCATACATGAATTTATTTATTGACATCTACATTTCATTTCCTGAAATTACTAATAGGAGTGAAGTATACTGAAACTCCTTTTTACTTAAAACGATACGGTATATAATAAAAGGAAAATTATGTTGTAGCAGCTTTCTGGGGCTATGTATTTTGCTACTCGCAAGATATCAATTTTCATACGCTGCTCGTAGCAAAATACAAAGCCTCAGAAATCTACTACAATATAATATTCCGTATGTATCATACATTAAAATCCGTTTTGTTTTCTTCGGAATCCGATAATTACCGACAAAAGGTCGGTAATATATTCAAATGTCTCAGGTCAATATTGTCAAACAATACATCGGCGAGCTTTCACAATTTTAAAAGAAATGCGGTTTCTAATTTTTACCGCTGGAAAACCAATACTGAGACATGGCGATGTCCGTATAGTTGGCAGGTAAACTGGCAAAACAATCTAATATTTCCAGTTTATTTGTTTCAAATTACTTCAAATGTATATTTTTCCATACAATGTACTTAAATTACCCCCTTCCCGTCCAAAAAAAAATCATTACCATACTGTGCAAATTATTACAACATTTAATAAGACTCAAATGATTATCACACAAATATGTTTTGAGCAATTTTGCGCAGTAGTAAAAAGAGCAGTCCTTTGGTTTTCTAGCAGGTAGAAAAAAAACTAAAAAAAAAATAAAAAATATGCCGTGAGTTAATTATTAGAAATAGACTTTTTTCAATACGAATTTCCATAACAACGAATGTTGCATTTCGCGCATGCGCATTCTGCGTAGGGCAAAAGCATTAACGATGTCTACAGTTTATCATACTTTAAGGCTTTAATAGATGCGATTTCATGTTATGTCACCCAAAAAATATTTATTTTGTTATGACTTAAGGCGGTAAGTACTGAAAACGTGAATTTATTTCTAACAGATCTACGAATATGTGCGGGAGTAATAATTCAATGGTCAAAACGGGCACACACATGTCTTTGTTTAAGGTATCATTAGACGACTTTTCCATCAGTAATTTAAATTGAAACAACAGGGTGTTAAAGATAAAATTTTATTACCCCTGTATTACATAATATTACACAATTTGTGTTGTACTCTTCCTTTGAATAAATGGATTGGTCAGGCGGCAAATGTCAAACAGATTGGCACTCGAGCGTTTGTTCATTCAACCGGGACGTTTAAATATCATGGTGTAGTTAATCAGTTACGCTTATTAAAATGGTAATTAATGTAACTTTTAAATATACCGATCAATGTTTATGGATTTTGAGAAGAGAAAAATTGTGTGACGTGCATTATTAAAAATAACATGTATTACGAAGAAGCGGATAAAAAGTGTGTTTTATCTTTTCCAAACAATCCATCTAAACTTCTCAAGATGTTGAAAAAAAAAATTAATTATTTAAAATCTATTTATGTGACTTAAATTTTTCTGTTTGCATCACAGGCAAATCGGATAAAGGATATAAACAGGTATATTGAACACTAAAATCGATTATCACCTGTTCTGATATTTTTTCTGAATGATAATTAATCTCGATTTCATGTTATATAATTTCTATTGCTTTTAAATGAACTATTTCAACAGCAAATAAGTTGACTTTTCATTTTCTAATAGATAAATTTCCACAAAATGATCTCAGTGTCAAGTCCGTGATCGTAAATTCTTAAACAAGTATCTTTTCTATGCCTTTTTATGGCATTCTTCGCCACAAAGCTATAAAGTCATCTTTTCTATATTTGTTGAAAGCTATTTATATAATTTTCTACCGTTTACTTGAACTAACTCGGAATTGTCTATGAACTTCTACTATATTTCTATGTTAGGCGAAGCATTTTTTTTGCCCTACGCAGATTGCGCATGCGCGAGAAAATTCTAATTCCGGTCGATTTTTCATAGCAACGGACCGCGTCGTAAAAAGGTCTATATGAGATAGTATTGAATATTACAAAAAATAATTGAATAGTTTTAAATGTTCGGTGCAAATAATAGAAAAAAGATTATAAATAAATATGTAAACACACGTATTTCATGTTTGTATTTTTATGTAAATAAATTGTTACAAATGTATATATCTAAAAAGAATAACATTGTGATTTAAGTGTTTAACAATGATATATATTAGAAAAATAATTAATCGTCTACAGAAGAATAAATAGATTTGTTTTGGTATATGTTTTATTTCAATGATGACTTTAGGTGCTATGTAATAACAGTGCTTTATAATGACATGGTTTATCAACATCTACACCTGTACGTTAAAATTTCTTTAACGATGCGCAAGAAAAAAGAATAAAGAGAAATAAAAATAGGTTAGAAACAAAAGGACACGGACACAATTTTTGCTAGATAGAAATTAAAAAGAAAAGAAGTAGCAGAAAATAGTTGTACACAGTTACTTTTCAACCATCTAGGCAAGACCAATCCAGCTTCCGTGGCGGTGCCCAGGTCCGAGACCCTGCTGGCATAGCTCAAGCCCTTCATTTGGCGGTACTTCGTAACTGTGCATGTAAGTCCCCTTAGAAGGTTAGTTTAGACAGCTCATTCTTGAAGGATGCCAAAGAATTGAGCCTCAGCAACAGGTGCTGGCAGGTTGTTCCACAGACGAAAACAACGAGGAAAGAAGCTGAACTTCATAACATCAGTGGACGTTGAGTATTGCAGGAATCGCTATTTGTTCCTGTAGACAGTGCTTTTAATGTATTAAATGCAATTTAATACTGACAGGATCGGACTTACCATATTGATATTCTATGTAGCATCCGATAGTTTAACGAGTATTTCATTCTCATACTTTCAGGACTCTGAAATGGAACATAATAAAATTAATGACTACATTAAACATTGCAAATTGTAGCTTCTTAAAACACATAACAGACCTTTACGTTCGTTTTATGTAAACTTAAACGTAAAAAGATGAAAAATACAATTTAGAAACATGAATATTTCGATCTCCGTCGTTTCAAATGGTAACAAAATTGAATACGTTTATATAAAATTAATTTATAATTTATATATATTGTATTTTTTTGTATTTTTAAAATGTCCTTAAGACAAGTTCTTAAGATTTCAAGCATTAAAACTTATATTTTAATATCTTTAACCTTAACTGCAATAAGTGAGTATAATTTCACCAATTTTGGGAATATAAGTATCATATAAACTGTTCCTAATTATTTAAATTCCTGGTGAATTATTTGTCATTGTAAAAGAGAAGTCAAAAATAGTTCATTGAACTATAGAATAAAGCCTTTAAAATTGAAATATGACAATACGTATAGGTTGTAAAAGGAAAGTGTGACGGAAAGTTCTCAAAAGTGATTAGTGTAAATAAGAGTATTTTTGCTTTAATTTTTATTTATCTTAGTCATTTTTTTTTCGACCTGACACCAATTCTTCAAGTGATGCTATTTGAATCGACTAGAGAAAATTCAATTCATACACATGAAGAATTTTTATATTTGCATTGGATACCCTTTTCAAAATCCAATTTTAATAAATTAAAGTATAGAAAGGGCGATACATGTGGGATTATTCATTTGTAGAAGGCAAGTCTATGGTCAAGTTGCATTTTAGGATTTCAAAAATCCATATATGATCAACATGTATCCTGTGTACAGAGCTAGACACCGCCCGCCAATATCGTGATATTTTTTTATTTCTTTTTGCAATTAAATCTACTTCGATTCTAATACCCATTGTCAACACTACGATGGAGGAGTTACACTGCTACGTATCAAATATATTAGCCCTGTGCACTACAGTCCACTTAAATGTGTTTTCTTATAGAAGTTCATATATATATCCAGAGAGCCCATTGGGCGTGCAAATATTAACTCTTTTTACATGATAGCATCAGTTTTGTGGAGGGTCACATGTATTTTATTTCACAAACAAAACTTAAAACATATATATGTATTCGTATATAAAGATATCTTTATAAATCATGAACTGACACCCGGAGCAGGACCAATTTTGATCTTAGGAAGCCGTTTTACTTTAGTTATAACTTTGAAATCTTTATGTAATTTATGTATTTTAATCTGAGTCAAAGCTCAGGGCGCGGTTTTTTTATTCAAATCATTTCTCCTTATCTTAAAAATGCACCTGTACTTACATGTATTTATATTAAATATCTGTTATATAGAGAAAATCGAACCCTCAGTGAATTCAGTGCTTTGATGTTATTTTAAATGTTATAAAGAGATATTTATATGAATTACATATATATACTAAAATACTATTTTTAAAGACCGAATATGTAAGTTTTAGAACTGATACAATCTAATAACAAAATTGGTTTGTCTATTGGAATTGACTTTATGTACAGATTATAACATGTGCAAAATAACGTCTTATTTATTTATTTATTTATTTATTTAACTATTTATCTATTGATTTATTATTTATTTATTTATTTATTTATTTATTTATTTATTTATTTATTTATTTATTTAACTATTTATCTATTGATTTATTATTTATTTATTTATTTATTTATTTATTTATTTCAGAAAATAAACAAATCAAATGGACTTATATTAATAACGTTATTAATGTGCTGGAGAAGGTTAGACCTTATCCTATAAGATCAAATAATCGGAGCAAAAACATGCATGTATTCAAAAAATGTATGCAATATTGCTTACTTAGAATAGTGTTTCAATTTAAATTCGAAAACGAGTAAAAATACAAGCTAAAAGAACGATATGTTCATTTGGAAAGAAAAGAAAAAAGATAGCATGATTCATAAAGACACATATCTCAAGCAATAACTATTAAATTATATTACACATCTTTATAATATAATATTTCTCTACACACTGCTCGGTTGGAACAATTACATGTATAAACTAAAGGAAATAATACCTAACTTAATGTAAATATCCCAGTCATGTTCTTCTCTCCTTATTGTTTAACACATACATTGACACATATGAATACTTGCTGGTAAATATTACAATACTTTATACCCTTGTCAGAAATCGGTTTTCACAATATCGTGAACATGCCCTTCGTAGAATACTCAGTCACCGATTTTGTTACACTGTATTTCAAACCTCCATTACTACACTGTACAAAATGAATTAACAAAATCATAGATAAATGTATCATTTTCCCCATATACATGTATTCTATTAATGTTTTCATTTATTTATTCTTTTATTTTTTTTCAATTTGTTTTATTTTACGTCGCACCGAATAGATATCATGGGCGACTTTCCAACTTTACTGGTGAAGGAAGACCTCGGGTGCTCGTCCGTGCATTATTGCACTACCGAGAACCAGAAAAGTCACCGAAGTTCCATAACCTAGCTGGATTAATTCCCTAATAATTTGAAGAGTGTATATTAGTTAATTCATTTATAAAACGCCGAGTTTCCTCTGTGTATATGTAGTTGATTGTTTTACATCGTGGTTCAGGCATCCAGGTGGTGAATATCTGATAAGCCCTGCCTATTTGTTCCAGGTACTAGTATATTAATACACTAGGTAACTGTGTTGAAAATATGAGCTAAAAATAGATCACGCGACTAACCTTACACACAATGTAAAGCAGACGGCAACAAATCAAATGTTTGATGCATGGCAACAAAGACGCTGCGAAATCCTTTGATAAGTTTGTCATTGAAAAGTCTCTTAAAGCTGCATGCCTACAGATACGCCAAAATATTTAAACACAAATCAACCTTGAGGAAATGTGTGTACTTAGATTTTAAGAAAACTAAAAATATTCACAATTAAAAGATGGTTAACATGTTATATGCTATTAATGACGGATTTTGTTGTATCACATAATTTTTACTTCGTGACTAACGCATTATTAAGGATTATTTTTGTACATTCTGACAGATATTTGGTATTTTCCCTAGATTGTAAGTACCGTTTGCAATGTGTAAATTACTTTTTTGTTCACTTTACAATATTTTACTTTTAATAATGTATTTACAGCAAAAAACTACTATCAACGTGATAAAAACAGATGAGCACACAAAATTGAGCCGCGTCACGACAAAACCAACATAGTGCGTTTGCGACCAACAATGATGCGCAGACTGGTCTGGATCCATGCTGGTCGCAAACCCATTATGTTTCATTCATTGTGTATTTTTCACGATATCCGTAAATTTGCTTTATAATTATTGCTTTATTTGATTATGTCATTTCCATGTAAATGGTAATTGCTGACAATTTATGATAAATTAATACATACCTTTCATAATTTCAATTTGTCCGATTTAAATTAAGATAAAAAAACTTCATACAACCAAAAAACATTTCAACCATTCAAAGATGTGCTGTATTTTTATTGTTTTTTTAATGCAACATTTAAGGCATTTTGAGTCAAAGTTTATTTTATTATATTATTTCTAATAATAATGTAGAACTCCAAAGCAAAACAACACTTGCATCCGGATCGTAATTCTATAATGTATTAGGTTTCCGTCAAACAATCTACACGCAGTTATTACTGGAATATTTGTAAAGTCATAATTGTTGTTACTGGCCAATGAAGTAGATTGTTTAAGAGGTAGACTAAATGGTTCGGCCGTGGATACATGGAGGGAACATTTAGGGAAAAAACCATGGAATTTTGGAATAGATTTAATAATTGAGCACTCTAAAGCCTGTTCTTTATTAAAGTCTAGCTTTTTTTCACGAGAAATGATCGCAGTAAACAAATTCATCAACTGTTTAGTCTGTAATCCATTTTAAAGAAATTTTGGATTCGAACACAAAATACGGGACTTCGAAAATGTTTTGCAATGTCACTTTTACTCCATCTCACTACTTTGTGTACATTATAGCCTTAACTTTCTGGAATTTCTTTCATTACACACATAATCACAATAAAAACAAAATGAAACATGCTCTTTCTAGTATAAAGCTTTTACGAATTCGAGAAATAGTAGACTTCACAAATAAGTATTTGCTTGTACTTCTAAGTAATTACCGTTGTACTTTGAAATCTTACTGTCTATTGAGGGATTAAACTAACCTGTGCACAATTATCAAGACTATCGCAATATCCAGTGTTAATATGGCTTGATTACATTAAATAAAGAAGAACTTACTATAAAGGCATTATTTTAAGACCTTCCATTATCATTGAAGTTCATATGGTTCCTCGAAGTATGCATCAGTTAGAAGAATATGTTGGTTTCCGGTAAAACATATACTAGTGAAACTCCCATTTTCAGGAAATAAAACGGTAAATGTTACATGTTCTTCGATAGATACCAAATCATATATTGTCTCTTGATGCAGGCTTTTATGGAGAAATTTAAAATGTCGATAAGAAAATTACCAGAAATAAGACCCTTAGTAATTTAAAATGTACACACAAACTCTTGTCCGTCAATTCTTTGGAAATCAGCGACGAATGAAAATAATGATGGCCTCATTGAGAACTAGATGTACATTATCATTTTTGGTACATAATTGAAACCTTTGCAAAAAGTACTTATTTAGTTCTAATTTAAATATATAGTATGTCCCTTTCAATCTTACTCTTCAAATATTCATCAATTTTAACATGTAATTAAGTCTTATTGTGTACTTTAAGGGAAAATGGGCGGTCTCCTAGCGAAAAGATTAATTGGAATACACTTAGCAATAGTGAAAAGACGCTTAAAATATACCAAAAAAATGCATTTATATTAATGTCATTTGGTTTCAAAAATACATCTGCAAAACCATATGTTTCTAATAATATTTTAACATTGTATGTCCAGTTTTCGACACTTATTAAACATTGTTTAAATGAGTTATTATATGTCTTATTTAACCATAGACGGCTGTT